TATGTGTGAGGAAACTCATATCAAAAACAACATAGTGAGGGACCAGCAGTTAGTGTACTTGCTATGTCGCTGGACTCCCATGTAGTCGACCACGGTTCGAGTCCCGGACCCAGTAGCTTAAACTCATGCGCGTGCGTGCCCAAGATCCTGAGAGGAGAATGGAGGAGAAGGGATTGCGGTATGGCCATCCCCCGCCCGGGAGGTGATTTCTCGCTTTCTGTCTCTCTGTCTCTCTCTGTCTATCTGGTGAGCGAACGCGCCCTATAGCAAAAACCTCTCAAAAACAAAATAAAACAAACAACTTAGTGATGTTACTGAACTCAAATCAGGTTCGCTCACCCATGCACTATAAAACCAAACCATAGGCACATGGTGTGGTGAAGGAAAGTACAGCTTTATTGCAAAGCGCAAAGCAAGGAGAGCGGGCAGCTCATGCTGAAAAGACCCGGTCCACCCGAGATGTTCCCCACATGCGTTTTTAAGGGCAAAATTAGGGGTAGAGGTCCCAGGTGCACGATCAGTTCAGTGACTGGTTCAAGAGGGCATGATCATCTCCTGGGCATTCTTGATTGGTGAGGCCTTAGATAATCAATTTCTCTTCAGGTGTCTGGACCATTCAGCCTAGAGTCTTGGAGCTCACAACCAGCAGTTTCCAGCCTATAAAATATCTTACATATTGAAATGAAAACCTTATCTTACCTTTAAATGAGCGTTTTAGAGGTCAAATGGCCCTCACTCATGGTCCATATTGGTCATTATCATAACCAAAAGTCTGAAGACTTACTCCTTACTCTGGGCCATTACAATGTAAATGGACTTTATATTTCAGAAACCCTAGGAAAATGCATTAGGGGGTCCTTGCTCGGTTTCATTGATACCAGCATTTATTGCAGATGTATATGTAGAGTTACAGAGGGTTTTCAGGCCACCAGGTTCGACACTCAAACTGAGTCAGCCGTGTGGGAGTCCAGTTCCTAAACCACCATGCCACCGACTGGCTCCAGTAGCTATGTATTTTTTGACTGTAAGATTTAATTGCTACTTTCAGATCATCTTCCAGAAAACTCATGAGTGACCAAGGAGATTTTTCTTTCGAAGTACACCAGTCTGCTTGTTTCCCATGGCATTAAGAGTGTCTCTTGATCTCAGTACACATTACTTTCCACTTTACTGTCGGTGTGCAGTGGGCTCCCTAGGTCTGCTTAATGCACACCCCCTTTCCAAGGCAATGTCTCCGAACTGCCCGATGTTCTGTAAAAACTCTGGGCAAAGGCAGAGACTTCCTCTGTTGGAGTTCCGCAATGTATAGTTTATCTGCAAAGTTGTATTAGTCCTGCAATCAAGAGAGCTGTTTAACCCACAACTCCTAATTTTACTTGAGCACAAAATACCTGTCTTATAGCCCACCCATTACATCTTGTAAATGTTAGCATGTCAGTTTTAGAAAAAACATGCGTAGAGTTTAGGACTTTCTTAGAGGCAAATTCAGACTTGCTTAACAGGTAAACTGTTTCCTAATTTATTCTTTTGTTTTCTCCAAAATATTTCCTAAAGGAAAAAAAGCAATCTACCTCAGATCTTTGTTTTTCGTTCTACCTTAGGAAACTCATTTCTTATTGTTTTGATTAGATAATCACTTCCTTAGAGGAGTGCGTTTGTGTCAGATAACTGTGTCCTCGATATGGGTTTTCTTAGGTGCTAAGCAGAATAACCGTTGACTTTTTTTTCCTCTTAGAGGCCCATGTATACATGAGAGAGAGGTAGAGAGAGAGAGAGAAGCAGTCCCCATGGAACCTGGCACGGCAGTCTTGTTTGGCTCCATTTGCTCCATTTCTGCATCCTGTCAGGGTCCCGGGCACGTGCTCACACACCCAGCATGTGTTTAAGGCTGCCGTGGCTAGGTTCAGGCTAGTGTCAGCCATGCGGAGTCTGCTGCCACGGTACAGCACTTACCTGCCGCACGTTGGTGCTGCCCCATCATTGAGTTCGAGGGACCAAAATGTCTCGTGGTTATTGTGAGGCAGTTCTCCAACAGCACACAGATTTATTCATCTTCTCCTTATACTTTTGCTTTCCTGGAAATGTCTCCTCAAATACCATTTTCTTCACGGACCTGTGTCAATCTTGAGCTTCAGAACTATATTAGCAACTCAAGTTACTGTCTCTACGCACTCAAAAAGTCGATTTTCTTCTACAAATTTGTCTTGTTAATCCCAGACCATTTTGGGGGCTTTAGAGTTGTAACTGTTGAGCTGTAGCTACTTTGCCCAGCTTTCCAAGAGTTAAAAGAAGACATTCCAGCCAACTGCATATTTTAGTTTCTTAACAAAAGTTCTCAAGTCTGTCTTTGTGTTGAGAAAGTTGAATAATTTATGAAGGAAATCTTGGGTACCCATTTCTTTTCCTGCCTTACAGTGTACAGCAGGGGTTCTTTTCTTTTTTTTACCACTAAGAATTCCTTTTGTTACTATTTTCTTCTATAGACCACATGTTTTCAAAGATTGTCTGCTAATAACTTGAACTTACTAAATAATTTACTGTTTCTTATTTATCATTCATAATTGGGCTGTCATAGCTTTTTAGACTGTGTTCTTTGAGTACACAGTTCGAAAACCATTGATGTACTGGAAAGAGCATGGACTTTAGAGGTGGGCAAACCTGGATTAAAATCTTGGACTTGTTGATTAATAATGGTGTAATGCTGCTATTTCCAGTCTCTTCATCTTTGAAAATAGAGATAACGATCTCAATTTTGAAGGACTGTTAGGATGTTCTCAGTGTGGTCCTGAGCACGTGGTATTTCCACGTGGTAAATTTTCTATATTCTGCAAAGCCCATTTTAGTACCCATGATTATAGTCTTGTTACAGTCCCCCCCACACACACAAATAAATAAAAACTCTTTAAGCTTCTGTATGGATATCCTCAGTTTTAGTTGCAGCAGTGTTCTTTGAAGTAACCTCTGTGGACTGTATACAAACAAGTGCATATATTAATCACGATCTGTGTGCTTCCTGTACCAGCTGCAGCTTGCCTTTGTTTTGTTTTGTTTTAGTTTTGCTATAGGGCTCATATGCTTGCCAAAGAGAGAGGAAGGGAAAAAGAAAGCACCCCTCCAGGGGGTTTGACCATGCTGCATTTCCTTCTCCATTCTCCTTTCGGGATTTTGGGCACACCTGCACACGTGCCCAGCAAATTTTTCAGGCTTCTGAGTCCAGGACTCAATGAGTAGTTGGCCATGTAGGATCTAGTTATTTAGCCACAATTTCACTAGCTGGCCTCAGCCTGCCTGCCTTTTTCATTTTTTTAAAGTTTTTAGCTACATGGTACATGCGCTCGCAAGAGACAGAGAGAGAGAGAGAGAGAGAGAGACGGATAGATAAAGAAATCACCCTTCAGGGAGGATGGCCATGCTACATTCCCTTCCCCATTCTCCTCTCAGGTTTTTGGGCATGCACATACACGTAGCTGTCATGATTTTTGAGCTGCTGTGTCTGGGATGTGAACTGCAGAATCAGCCATGTGGGATCCAGCACCTTAACCACCATGCAGTGTGCTGGCCCAACTCCAGCCTACCTTTAAAAAGTACAACATTTTATATTCTATCTTCAGTTTCTCCTTTTGGAAAGGGAAACCTTATTTCACTGGTAAAACAGCATTATTACAGTAGCAGGTTCTGCACTTACAGCTCTTGGTGATCAGAATATGAGTCCAGTGTTTAATCTGATGATGTGTGTGTCTTAAGTCATAGAGTGCTGTATTATAAGAATTCAAATAATTGAAGTTTTATTTTTGTAAGAGTGTATTTTATTTTATTATTTTTTAAAGAATTATTTTATTTAATTCATTCATTGTTATTTTTTTGTTTGATCAGAGCAACAGAGAAAGAGATAAGGAAGGTGAGAAAGCAAGTTACCAGGTCTGAGACTTGAACTGTGGTTGTCTATGTAGGAGTCCAACGTCTTAACCACCATACTACCTACCTTCTGGCCCCTTATTTTATTATTATTTTTAATTTTCTATAGGGCACCTGTGCTCACTGGAGAGAAACAGAGGGAAAGTGGAAAGCAGGCTGCCAGGTCTAGGACATGAATTGCAGTCGGTCATGTGAGAGTCCAGCGTTTAACCTCCATGCCACCTCCCAAATAATTAAAGGGTTTTTTTTTTTTTTTTTAAGAGAGATTTTTGGGACCAGTAGTTAGCGTAATGGCTATGTCACTTGACTCCCATGTAGCCGACCGTGGTTCGAGTCCCGGACCCGGTGGCTTAAACTCATGCCGGGCGCATGTGTGTGCGTGCTCAAGATCCGGAGAGGAGAATGGAGGAGAAGGGATTACGGCATGGCCATCCCCCTTGAGTGATTTCTCGCTTTCTATCTCTCTGTCTCTCTCTGTCTTTCTGGCGAGTGGACACACCCTACAGCAAAAAGCCTCTCAAAAAAAAAAAAAAAGATTTTTGCTGTAGGGCACATGTGCTTGCCAAAGAGACAAAGAGAGACAGAGACTGAAAGCACTCCTCCAGGAGGGGATGCCTATGCTACAATTCTTTCTCCTCCATTCACCTCTCAGGATTTTGGGCATGCACGCACATTCACCCAGCGTGAGTTTGATGCCCTTGGGTCTAGGGTTTGAATTGCGGGCCAGCAACATAACCATTATGCCATCTGCTGGTCCCCTAATAATTGAAGTATTGTTTTTTTTTTTTTTTTAAGAATTATTTAGTTTAATTTAATTAATTTATTTATTTTATTTTACCAGAGAGGGACACTCAGAGAGGGGGGGGGGAAGTGAGAAAGCAAGACACCAGGTCTAGGACTCGAACTGTGGCCAGCCATGTGGGAGTGTTCCACGCCTTAACCACCATACCACCTGCTGACCCCAATAGTTGAAGTTTTTAATTGTAAAACGGAGACAAGAAACTGGGAAAGAAGAAAATGTAGGTAAAACACTAAATTGTCTGAAATAGAACTGGTGAACTAATTTTGCTGTTCTTGTCTTGCAGTCCACAAGAATTGGGATGTCAGTTAATGCTATTCGCAAGCAGAGTACAGATGAAGAAGTTACATCTTTAGCAAAGTCTCTCATCAAATCCTGGAAAAAGTTATTAGGTATACTTGATCATCCCTTACATAGATTTGTGATGCTCTATTGTATTCAGTTCATTGTTGCATTTTTTGGTCTCTGAATCTAGATGTCTTGAAATCAGTGCCTCATAATTTAGGTGAATGTATTTATTTATTTATTTTCTTTTCAGGGTTTTGCCTTTTACGCTAGTACAATTTAGTTTTCTTGACTTTTGACATTTAGTACTGGATAAGTTCTTTAAGTAATACTTGTCTGAAAGGTTGAGTATACTTTTTGAAATGGTTTTTGAGGTAAGTTTTTAATTTACAAAAAACTTGAAATAATAAAAATAACTTAATAATAAAAAACTCACATGGATTCTTTTTTAAAATTATTTTTATTTATTCATTTATTTATTTTAATTTGATCAGAGATAAACAGAGAGAGAAAGAGAGAAAGGGAAAGTGAGAAAGCAAGCCACCAGGTCCAGGACTTGAACCGTGGTCCACCATGTGGGAGTGTCCAGCACCTTAACCACCACACCACCTGCTGGTCCCGACATGGATTCTTTTTTAAAAAAAATTATTTATTTTTAGATTTTTGCCAGTGGGTCTGTACTTTTGTCAGGGAGAGAGACAGAGAAAGGGAAAGTGAGAAATCATCCCCTCAAGAGTAGGTGGCCACACCATAATCTCTTCTCCTCCATTCTCCTCTTGGGATTTTGAGCATACATGCCCAGCTTGTTTTTCAAGCCACTGAGGACTCAAACTGCAGAGTCTGCCATGTGGACTCCAGCTCCTTAAGCACCATGCTACCTACTGACCCCATATCCATCAGTTTTCAGTATTTGCCATTTCATATTATTTGTCTTTCTTTTTATGTGAACATACACATACACACATGAATTTTCTGAACCATTTGAGAATAGGTTGATTTTTTTTTAACCCTCTAATACTTACATGTGTATTTCTTTAAAACAAACTTATTTTCTTATAGGACTGTAGTATAGGGAATTCAGAAATTTAACATTGGTACACTATGCTTTTTTTTTAAGAGAAATTTTTGCTATAAGGTGCGTGCACTCACCATAGAGACAGAAAGCAAGAAATCACCTCTCGGGGGAGGGCCACATTCTCTGTTCTCGGGATTTGGGGCATGCACTCACATGTGCCCAGCATGAGTTTTAAGCTGCCAGGTCTGGAACTCAAACCACAGTCAAGTAGGTGGGAGTCCAGTGACGTAGCCATTCTGCCATCTGCTGGTCCCATGGTACTTTCATCTGTAGTCATGTTTCAGTTTTGTCAATGGTCCCAGTAATGCCCTTTATAGATTTTTTTCTCTTCTAAGACAAGATCCAATCTAGGATCATATACAGAGTTTCCTGATTTGGAGTAGTTCTTAAGCTTTTTTTTGGGGGTGGGGGGGGATATGACCTTTATTAAGCTTATCCATCAGAGTGGATATAATGTCTGTACAAAACCAAATGTTTGTTACTATAACTTCTGCATCACAATTAAAATCCAAACAGTTTTTTAAAAACAGTCAACTCAATCAAAACCCACTACTTCGGAATCAATAGCTTCTTTGAAGCCAACAGTAACACTTAAATATGGTTAAGACTCTAATGCAGAAATTCGGTTGGTTGGAAAGCTAATTAAACTTCTGACTTGCTCCAATAGAATTACAAAAAGGCAAAGTTGTGTTTTTCACAGAGATACAGTCCCCGGGCATCACCAACACTGGACAGCTGTTAGAGTACTTAGAGTCCTGAGATAAGGAACCCAGGCATCCTTTAGGCAGTATTCTGTTGTCCTTCTTTCCCACTCAGAGATTCGTGGATGTGTGGAATAACCCACCACCAGCAATTGGAGCCTTGATGAGAGAGTCCAATTCCTCATCTCCACGAATAGCAAGGTGCCAGTGGCGAGGAGTAATAGGCTCTACCTTTAAGTCTTTTCATGCATTTCCTGCCAGTTCAAGTACCTCTGCGGTGAGGCACTCCAGGATCGCAGCGCTGTACACAGCAGCAGCCGCGCCCACACGTCCATGGCTGGTTGTACTAGATTTCAGGTGTCGATGAATACGGCCCACTGGGAACTGCAAGTGGGAAACCGCCTTTGTCTTGGTCTTTCGGGAGTCCTTCCCAGCCTGACCGCCAGCCATTTCGAATTCTGCTGAAGCTCACACAAGCAAGGCAGGAAAAGGACACACACAGCGAGATGCCACCAGCTACGCCTTCGTCGCACCGCCATTCAAACTGCCAGTTCTTAAGTTTTTCTTGACCCTTATGACATTGATATTTTGACTGCAAGCACCCTACCCCCCCAGTCTCCCTTGTTGGCATTTATTTATTTATGTAAATTTATTTGTTTGTTTGTTGTTGGGCATGTTCATATGCCAGAGAGGGATAGAGAGAAGGAGAGAAAGTGAGAAAAAAGCCCCCGCCCCTGTCCCCGCAGTTGGATAGCAACATCACAGTCCCTTCTCTTTTCCTCTCGGGATTTTGGGCACATGTGAATGTACTCAGCATGTTTTTCCAGCCTCCGGGGTTGGGACTGGAACTGTGCAGTCAGCCACCTAGACTGTTCTCTGTCAGTGATTCTCATCAGATGGCATGCTGTCTGGGGGTCTTTAAATGCCAGAGGTTCAGATTGAGTGGATCTGGATTAGAACTTGGCATGAGAATATGTTTCAGCTCCCTGGGTGATCCTGGTATCCAGCTGAGTATATATTCATCTATAGTCTAGACAGAGCGAGATGAGGGTTGAAAGAGTTATTTATAGAGCCTTTATTACTTACATGGGGAGCAAAATATACATAAGATGGGGTAATTTATACAGTAGACGTACGCCTTTTCTGAACCTAGCTTTCAAGGGTGCTTTTTTATATAATTATTTTATTTATCTTTATTTATTTGCTTATTTTTTAATTTGACCAGAGAAGGACAGAGTGAGAGAAAGAAAGAGAGAGAGAAAGAGAGAAAGCAAGCCACCAGGTCTGGGACTCAAACCGCCGTCGTCCATGTGGGAGTGAAGCGCCCTTAACTACCATGCCATCTGCTAGCCCCTTGAAGCTGTTTTGATTGATTTAAACATGAATGTTTCATTATTTTTTTACAGAGATAATGTATTGACTCAAGCTGTTCTACATAATTTCACAGTGTCTAATTGCTTAACTCTTCACATTTCAAAGCTTGTGCACTATGGATTACTTTACAGACCATTTGTGATACAGACCGTGTATGGTAGATCTTATCAATCCTGAGTTGTTTTCTGTGAAAGTGTTCTTTGTTTTTATGTTGGAAATACTTATTTGTATTTTGGGCACCACCTTAAAGTTTTGACTTTCTTCAAAGTTATTAAAACTTGTTATATATGCTTTTTGCTTTCATTTCTAAAATGACAGTGCTGACTTAAACTGTCTTTCTTTCTAGTTTCTCATTGGGATATGAATTTGTAGTTCCCCAAAAATGAAAGAATTTATATGCAAGTGCTGATTCAACATACATTGTGAAAAATAACCAAGTACATATGATGATCGAATAGCTTACATAAATGTCGTTAGGAAGTTAGTGTTTCATTGTTGTTGTTAGTTTTCCGTAAGTAGCCTGTAAACATGTAGTATTTCAGTTTAATATCTTACAAATGCTACAACTTGGGTATTTTGTAAATTTTCAGATGGGCCTTCAGCTGATAAAGACCTTGACGAAAAGAAGAAAGAACCCCCGATTGCATCACAGAACAGCCCTGAAGCGAGAGAAGAAAGGTATTTCACTGTGTGGAAATCTATTGATGTGTAGAGTCATCGTTTTCCCTCTTGCATCATTCCCTCACATTTTTTTAATTTAAAGGATTATTTAATTTTATTATTATATTTTTTTCTTTTCTTTTTTTGAGAGGTTTTTGCTATAGGGCGTGTGCGCTTGCCAGACAGACAGAGAGAGACAGAGAGACAGAAAGCGAGAAATCACCCTCCGGGGGGATGGCCACGCCGCAATCCCTTCTTCTCCATTCTCCTCTTGGGATCTTGGGTATGCACGCACATGTGCCTGGCGTGAGTTTTAAGCCACTGGATCTGGGACACGAACCGCAGTCGACTACATGGGAGTCCAGTGACATAGCCATTACGATAACTGCTGGGCCCTTTTATAATTTTTATTTAATTTGCCATAGGGCACATGCATTCGCCAGAGTGAGAAAGCAAGCTGCCAGGTCTGGAACTTGAACTAGAGTCGGCTGTGTGGGAGTCCAGCACCATAACCACCATGCCACCTGCTGGCCCTCCCTCCGTGGTCTTTTGATCCCACGTTTGCACTCCTCTTTCTCTGTTCTATTCAAACAGAATAAGTAAATGTATAGAGTCAAATATTCTAAGTTTACTTATTTATTTTTTTAAAGAATTATTTATTTATTCGTTCATTTATTTTAACTTGACTAGAGAGAGACACAGAAAGAGAGAGAGAGAGTGCGAAAGTGAGAAAGCAAGCCACCAGATCTAGGACTCGAACCATGGTTGGCCATGTGGGAGTGTTCAGTGCCTTAATCACTATGCCACCTGCTGGCCCCCTGCTTATTTTTATGTAAGATTTTCTGAAAATTTAAAAAGAGAAGTAGAAAACACTGCACATGCAACAAATCATTTTGCTTTCTACTCAACAAGGCTAATTGCTGGAATTGCTGGGATAGGCACTGGTGGAATTGAGGGTAAAGGTATTGTTGAGAGATTTAATTGGTTACTTCCTCCATTTACCACATTTCTTTATATTTATTTCAGTCCTACAAATCATTCTTCTTTTTCTGCTACTTCTTCCTCACGTTTAGCGACTTATAAGAACTTAGAATGTGAAGTTCAGTAATGAAGGGTTCAGATTATTTCTAAGTTCCTACGAAGTCTTTACATTTATTCTTTCCTAACACACATGAACTGTACAGAACTCAAATCGTTGCCATAGTGAGCGATATTTGTAGTAGATTAAATACGAACAGCCCCCTCTGTTCTTAGGAAGCTCGTGGTTTAATAATTGACCTGGATTAAGAGCAGAAGTTCTTCAAAGCATGGTCCCTGGAAGTGACAATTTGTTAGAAATAGCAGTTCCTAGCATCACCGTGAACCCACTGAATCAGAAATTTTGGCATGGGCCTAGAAATCTGTTTTTGTTTTGTTTTGTAATTTGCTAGAGGGTCCTTGCACTTGCTAGAGAGAGAAAAAGTGAGAAAGCATTTCCCATGGGGATGGCCATGCTGCGGTCCCCTCTCCTCCAAAGTCTTGGGACTTTGGGCACACACACACATGTACTGGGCATAATTTTCAAGCCACCAGGTCCAGGACTCAAATTGCACAGTTGGTAGTATGGGATTCAGGGCCTTAACCTCCATGCCATCTGCTGACCCTTCAATTTTCCTTTCTTTTTAAAGAGGTTTTTGCTATAGGACGCGTGAGCTTGCCAGACAGACAGAGAGAGACAGAGAGACAGAAAGTGAGAAATCACCCCCCGGGGGGATGGCCATGCCGCAATCCCTTCTCCTCTCGGGATCTTGGGCACGCACTCACACGCGCCCGGCGTGAGTTCTAAGCCACTGGGTCTGGGATGCGAACCGCGGTTGGCTACTTGGGAGTCCAGCAACATAGCCATTACGCTAACTGCTGGTTCCCGACCCTTCAATTTTCAAGAACTTCTTTTTTTTTTAACTTTGCTATAGGGCATGTACACTTTGCAGAGCGAGACAGAGAGAGAGAAAGTGAGAATGGCCACTTTACAGTTCCTCCTTCTCTATTCTCCTCTTGGGATTTTGGGCACGCACAATGTGCCTCCTGGTTTGCTTTTTCTTTTCTTTTTTGTTTCCTTAAGGGATTTTTGCTATAGGGTACATGCACTCACCAGAGAGAGATGGGGGATGGCCATGCAATCCCTTCTCCTCCATTCTCTGGGGATTTTGGGCACACACGCACATGTACCCGGGCTGAATTTTAAGCCACTGGGCCCAAGACTCGAATTGCAGTCGACTATGTGGGAATCAAGTGACATAACCATAACACCATCTGCTGGACTCTTTATTTTTTAAGGTTTTTTCATAGGGTGCATGTGCTCACCAGAGAGAGACAGAGATGGTGAGATGGAAGGTGAGAAAACATACTCTTGGAGGCATGGCCAAGCCATAGTCCCTTCTCCTCCATTCTCCTCCTGGGATTCTGGGCACCCGTGCATATGTGCCCAGCATGATTTTCAAGCCATCAGGTCTAGGACTTGAACCATGTCAACCATGTGGGAGTCTCCTACCACTGTGCCTCACTGCTGGTCCCTTTAATTTTGTTTTGATGATGCTAATTTTTTTTCTCTTGAGAGAGTTTTGCTATAGGACAGGTGCACTCACCATTGGAAGGACAGACACAGAGAGACAGAAAGCAAGAAATCAGCCCAGGGAGGATGGCCACACCGTGATCCCTTCTCCTCCATCCTCCTCTTGGGATTTTGGGCATGCATGCACATGTGCCTGGTGTGAATTTTAAGTTGCTGGGTCCAGGACTCGACGTGTGTGTGGTTGACTACGTGGGAGTCCAGTGACATAAACATTACGGCATCTGCTGGTCCCTACTTTTTTCTAACCTACAGATCTTATTCATAGTTTAGCCGTTGTCCCAATAATGTTCTCTATTCCAAAGGAAAAAGATTTTTTCAAAAAATATCATCCAGGAGCACATATTCCATTTAGTTATCATGTCTCCTTTGTTGTTTTTAATCTTGAGTTAGTCCTCAGTCCGTCACTGTCTTTCATGACCTTGGCATTTCTAAAAAGTATAGGCTATAGTTTATGAATTTTTAAAATATGCTTTCAGTTATTTTACATTCTTTCTTTTTTTTTTTTTGAGAGATTTTTGCTATAGGGCGTGTGCACTCGCCAGACAGACAGAGAGAGAGACAGAGAGACAGAAAACGAGAAATCACCCCCCAGGGGGGGATGGCCACGCTGCAATCCCTTCTTCTCCATTCTCCTCTCGGGATCTTGGGCACACACGCACATGCGCCTGGTGTGAGTTTTAAGCCACCGGGTCCAGGATGTGAACCACGGTCGACTACGTGGGAGTCCAGTGACATAGCCATTACGCTAACTGCTGGTCCCAGTTATTTTACATTCTGAATCACTAGTTCAGTGCTTTGAGTGTAGAAAAATATGTGTAAATGTTTTAAATAAATATTAAATTGAAAAATAAATAGAAAAAAATGTAGAAAGATTTTTGCTATAGGGTGTGTGCTCTTACTGGCGACACAGAAAGAGACACAGAAAGTGAGAAACTACCTGTCAGCAGGGATAGCCATGTTGCAGTCCCTTCTCCATTTTCCTCTTGAGATTTTGGGCAGGCATGAACACACGTGCAGCGTGAGTTTGAAGCCTACAGGTCTGGAAAACTTGAACTGTGGTCGACCATGTGGGAATCTAGTGCCTTAACCACTATGCCATGTGCTGGCCCGAAAAATAAATGTATTTTAATCAGGATTGTGTACTTGAGGTTTAGACATGGAGCCTATCTGCAGAAGCACAGAAATACTGTTTATGGAGTCTGATAAAGTAAGTGGTTGGTGGGAACAGCAGATGGCATAATGCTTGCATTGCTGAACTCCCATGTAGTTGACTGAGATTTGAGTCCTGGACCCTGCAGCTTAAAACTCATGCAGGGCACATGTGTGCGTGTGCCCAGGATCTCGACAGGAGGATGGAGGAGAAGGGTTTGCAGTGTGGCGGCCAGTCCCCCCCCGGGGGATGATTTCTCGCTTCTGTCTGTCTCTCTGTTTCTGTCTAGCAAGTGCACATGCTTTATTGTGCAAAAATCTCTAAAAAAATAAAGTAAGTTGATATCTTTTTTTTTTTTCAGAGCTTTTTGTCTTAGGGCATATGTGCTGGCCAGACAGAGAGAGAGATAGACACAGTGAGAGAGAAAGTGAGGAGTCATCCCCAGGGGGATGACCACACTGCATTCTCTTCACCTCCATTCTTCTCTCAGGATCTTGTGCCCACACAGACCCAAGCGCCCGATGTAATTTTTTTTCAAGCCACGAGATCTGAGACTTGAACCATGGTTGGCCATGGGAGTCCAGCGATGTAACCATTACACCAGGACTTAGGACGCACATGCGCCCGACATGATTTTCAGGCCACTAGTTTGAGATTTGAACTGCACAGTTGGCTGTGTGAGATCCAGCCACCTTATCCTCCATGCCATCTGCTGGCCCAAGAAGTGAAGTTTTTTTTTGTTTGTTTGTTTGTTTTGAGAGATTTTTGCTATAGGGCACGTGCACTTGCTTGCCAGACAGAGACAGAGAGACAGAAAGCGAGAAATCACCCCCCACGGGGACGGCCACGCCGCAATCCCTTCTCCATTCTCCTCTCGGGATTTTGGGCACGCACACACACGCGCCCGGCGTGAGTTTTAAGCCACTGGGTCCAGGACTCAAACCGCAGTTGACTCCATGGGAGTCCAACGACATGGCCATTATGCCAACTGCCAGTCCCAGAAGTTTGTTTGTTTGTTTGTTTATTTATCACTGCTAAGTGCTATGCTATATACTGAAAATATAAAGAAGAATAAGACCTACTTTTTAATTCTTTAGAAATAGTTGGGTAGGAGCCAAGTCATCATATCAATATATAAACCCTGCATAGAATCAGAGAAGGCTTCGGGCAGGACCTGACAGAAGTGGGAGGGTACAGGTGACTGTCTTGCCCATGGGGACCTATCTGTACGTGGTCGTGTTCTGGAGGGACCGTGACAGGGCTGTCCGTGTAGTGCAGCAGATTAGATCTCTCAGGGTGAATGATTTCATCGGTCTTTGAAAAAATTTATGGCAGATATCTTTAATGTGATAAAGTTTATTTTAAACCAGTCGGTAGAGTATTTTGAAAGAACCTATTTTGGTGAAAATCTAATAAAAGTTCATCAGAGCAGTTGAAATGAATTATAGTAATTTTGACTTGAAATGAATTAAACCGACCCGATGTCTGGAGTGAGTTGGTGATTCAGGTGAGGAGTCTCAGTACCTTGTCATGTCCTCATGACACGTTTGTCATATACACGGCTTTTGTCCTGAAGAGAGTATCCCACTGGAACCTCACTAATTAGAGCTGACTTTTCCAAACACTTTTTCCTCCCTCTAGTTTTAGTCAACAGTTGTCATAGTCTCGATTCTATCCTGCACCCTCTCCTAAACCAAGATCCTCGCTTTGCATTTATCGGGCTGAACCGTAATGTGTATTTTCTCTCCTTTCTTTCTTTTCTTTCTTTCTTCCTTCCTTCTTTCCTTCTCTCTCTCTCTCTCTGCTTCCTTCCTTCCTTCTCTCTCTCTCCTTCCTTTTCTCTCTCCTTCCTTTTCCTTCCTTCCTTCCTTCCTTCCTTCCTTCCTCCCTCCCTCCCTCCCTCCCTCCCTCCCTCCCTTCCTTTCTTCCTTCTCTCTCTCCTTCCTTCCTTCCTTCCTTCCTTCCTTCCTTCCTTCCTTCCTTCTCTCTTTCCTCCCTTCCTTCCTCCCTCCCTCCTTCCCTTCTTCCCTTCTTCCCTCCTTCCCCTCCCTTCCTTCTCTCTTTCTCTCTCTCTCTCTCACTCTCTCTTACTTATTAAGGTTTTTTGCATAATGCATGTGTGCTCTCTGGAGAGAAGAGAGACAGTGAGAAATTACTGGTCTGGTGGGGGGGTTGGCCATGCCACAGTTCCTTTTCCATGCTCTCTTGAGATTTGGGGCATGCGTGCACATGTGCCCAGTGTGATTTTCAAGCCGGTGGGTCCAGGACTTGAACCACAGTTGGCTGTGTGGTAAGCAGCGCCTTCAACACTGTGCCTCCTGCCGGCCCCTGTAGCTCCTTTTCTGGCAAGGTCTCACCACTGCAGCCCTCCTGCCTCAGCCTTGCGGCTGGGACCATGCACATGCTCCCAGACCTGGCTCTCTTTCTAGGACCGCGCACACGCTACCAGGCCTGGCTCTCTTTCAGACAGGTTCTCCCTTTGTCTCCTCGGCCAGCCTTGCATTCCTGATTTCCTGCCTCATCCTCTCCAAGTTGCTGGGATTGTAGGCATATGCCACAATGACTGGGCCCAGGATACTTATTTTCTCTATTAAAAATCTTGTTTAATGTTCAAAAGGAGAGTTAAGGTAAAATGCTTAGTTGTTTTTTTTTTATTTTAAGTTTGAAACTTGTCTTTCTTCGTTAAATTTAAAAGTTACAAAGTTCTTTCAAACCCAGAGCTGACAGGTGGTGTGATGGTTAAAGTGGCTGAACTCTCACATGGCTGACCACGGTTCGAGTTCCAGACCTGGCAGCTTTCTCACTTTCCCTCTCTCTCTCTGTCTCTCTTTGGTCAACTTTTTTTTTTTTTTTGAGGGGTTTTTGCTATAGGGCACGTGTGCTTGCCAGAAAGACAGAGAGAGAGAGAGAGAAAGCGAGAAATCAACCCCCAGGGGGGATGGCCACGCCACAATCCCTTCTCCTCTATTCTCCTCTCAGGATCTTGGGCACGCACTCCCATGTGCCTGGCATGAGTTTAAACCACCGGGTCCGGGACTTGAACCACGGTCAACTACATGGGAGTCCAGCGACATAGCCATTCCGTTAACTGCTGGTCCCTCTCTTTGGTCAACTTTTAAAAAGTAAAATAATGACAATGAACAAAATTAAAATAATTCTTAAAAAAAAGTTCTTTCAAACCTCTATGCAGACAACATGTGTTTTCTTATGTGAGAATCACTGGAATACTACTTCATTTATTTAGGCCCTCCAGGTTTGTTTTTAGAGAATGATAGTAGCGCTGTTGCTTTACATCTCCTGGTTTTTAATTGTTTGGTGTGTGTGCGTGTGTGTGTGTCTTAGTAGCTCCAGCGGCAACGTAAGCAGCAGGAAGGACGAGCCCAATACTCGAGACACTTACGTTTCCTCTTTCCCCCGGGCACCAAGCACTTCCGACTCTGTGCGG